AAAAGATGAAAAATCAGCACCAATGGCTGCTGAAAATCATCACCGACCTTCTTGGAGTTTCTAGATTGGTTTGGCCTTGCACAATTTTTCTTACATAGTATAATTGTCGAGAAGAATAAGTAGGTTTATTGACCGAATTCAATTTAGTTGATATAGTATATATACATGATGAATGCATGAGTCAGAGCGATAGTGAGCTTGAGTGTATCTGCAGCTAGATAGCGAGTGATTTGAGAGAGAAGCTGATGTAGTGCTAATCCATTAAGTTCCCTGAGTGAACATTATATTTGAGTAGTGGCGTGTCTACTATCCAAATTGTGTAAATTGCATTTTGTTGATAAAATATTATTTTGGTGATTACACTCTTCAAAGCGAGACGGTATTTTTCGAGCTTTTTGAAATCTTATATGAGAAGCTCCATAAAACTTGCTTTGTAACGATGAGGTTAACCAAATTAAGATGGGCGACCTACAAATGATAGGTGAAACAAAGAATCTCAACAATCAAAACTATACAACATGATAGATGTGCATGTAGTCATATCTCCAAGGACAAAAGTCGTAGGGTGTAGTCGAGAGAGAGAATACCAATGCTCTAAAGAAATAGGGGATTAAAGCAGGTAAGATCATATTTGTGATAAAGATAACAATTGAGAAAGAATAATTGGAGTATATAAAGGATAAAAATACACTAAAGCATGAGACACATTTGCATCAATGTTTAAAAAAATGATCTAAGGTTGCAGTTTCTAGAGAACGAGTTACTCTCTATTACTTAGGAATAGAAAGATAAACCAATAATTCAACAAGGTAAGAATTAGATCTACGAACAAAATTTTGGAGTCTAGAATGAGAAGAATCCCCTACCAAGCTCTACACTGCCCCCATTTCCTTTGGGAGGGGCCAAAAAAATGTCTCCACCTATTGCTAACACTCTTTCTTCAGAATACTATTAAAAGGGTCAATCCATCCCACCCTCGTTTTTGAGATTCGAATTTAGATGATTCATTGTTGCAATACTAGATTGTCAGATCAACCTTCAATGGTCAACCTCGAAATTTGTGGCAAACTAAGAAACGTTGACCAAGCAAATATTTGGGATCTCACTAAGGAAAAGGTAAAAATCCTTATTTAGTTATAAAAGAAGATGCCATCTTCATAAACAAAATAATAAACAATCAAAAGAAGATAAACACAAAAGGGTTTCTCACACGAGGAGCTCAACAAAATTGTGACGAGAGAGGATAGTCTTCTAAGGGATATCGTTGAACTAATAACTCGTGCTTTGTATGTGAAAAATGAGGTCAATATGTTAGAGATTGTTTGTTTAGGACAGAACGAAGAAAAGGCCATATACCACCCTCCAATAAGCAAAAGAAATAAAATAGTGAAGAAAAATGGAACGTTGAGACTCCACAACAACAAATGAGCAGTAGAGATTCAATTTTAGCCTAGAGATTGATGGTTTGGTCCTCTCTAAATGACATTAGTTGGATGTGTGAGAGTTGTGAATGATATCAATACTTCTTTCTTCACGTCATAAAACAAATGATTCACATTGGTTGAAACTATGATATTATATGAATCTTATAAATATAAGCAAAAGGGAAACACGGAGCAAATGGGACTATGTTTCAAAAAATTCAAAAAGCTTATCTTACAAAATGAGAATAAGGGGTTTAAATAGTCTAATAAGAGGAATAATTAAAAAAGAAAAAAGAAAAACACACACACTAACACTATACCCTAACATATCTAGTACAAAGAATATAACTAAATACATGTCACAGTTATAATTAGGGGTGTCAACGAGTCGGGTCGAGTTGAGCCACGAGTCGAAGCTCGACCTCGACTCAAGCAAAATTGATTCAGGCTTTTTTTGGTCTGAACCGAGCCGATCGATTTTTTTTTTTCGTGCAGTTGCCTGCAA